GATCCGCTGCGCTTCCAGATCAGCTGGAAGCGCCGGGGGTCCGGCCCCGGGTCCTGCGCGGCATAAGTCGGATCCGCGTAACTCGGGGACTGCCTGTAGTTCATTCTATAGTACTGGGTTAGCAAAAACGATCTGGTAAACAGAGCTCTCCTCTGGCATGTAGTTTAGCTCCACAGAAAAGTTTCAGATGACAGTACTGGGATAACATTTCTGCCTCATTTATCTTCTTATGTTGTTTGTCTTGTGAACACTATCTTAATTTTTTTTCTGACTGCCTCCTTCCTTCTCTCTGCATTTGTCTTAAGCTAACCTCTCTCCTTCATCCCCTCTCCCCAATCATTTTACTTTTCTGTGGTCTCTGCATAGGCAGCTACAGGGACAACAGCTTTCAAACACTAGTCTTTTATACAAGGACAGGAAGAGGAAGAAAACCAAAAAGCACCATTGCATTTTATATATAGAAAAAACAGACCAGCATTTTGTAACCCTTTTTCCTTTACAGCAAATTTCTTTGTAAACTGCTCCTGAAAGCACCTACAGGAAAAAAAAGGCCAAGCTAGGGCAGCCTATAGAGTGCAGGGAAATGCTTGTGCATGGCATGGGACCAATAATGTGTTATGACCCCACCACATACTCAGTAGCAGGCGAACAAAACATATGGTGGGAAGCAGGACTGCTTTCAGTAAGTGAGGGAGGTCCCTGGATTGTTTAAGGGAGTTTTCAGTCCAATGAATGCTTTACTTCTCAGACTTCAATGCAGAATGGAACTGCTGCTCCAGGAAAACCAAACCACCTCAAGAGTGTTCAGAGAAGGGTGGGTTCTCCCTCAGCCTATATCAGGATGCCTAGGGTCTGTGCCCCCAACAGTATTTCAAGAGGAATTCTGTTGCTGACAGACTTGGGTTACTATCCCTCCAGAAGCAGAAATAGTTTGCATATAATCCCACCCCCAAACTTTCACTCAGTCAGCAGTTGCAGGAGTCAATGTAAGACCTACTATAAAGTTATGGCAACTTTTACCACAATCTATTAATATTTTAATAGCTTATTTTAATACATTTTATAAGTTCTGAACACTTACTTCTTCAGGAGTGATGACTCCAGTTTCTTTAAACTTTGACTCCTACGATAAAGACAATTCAGAAACATTTACAACTCTGTTGACATTTGAACCTGCACAGCTTAAGAAACTGCTAGACACTGATCCTGAAATTGCTTCTCTAGGTAGATCTGTGTACAAACCTGAAGTCAGTTGTGGTGTCAATAAGCTGGTTTATAGCCAGCCTGCAGTCATTTTCTATAGTACAGAACATTCACGAGAAAGTAGTTCTTATAGAATCCAAGAGGTTATAAAAAAGTCACATAACCAAAGCATATTTTTTGCAATTATAAACAATTCAGTTAGCTAACAGGAGCAAAGAAGAACTTCTTTGATCTTCTACCTCTTTGGCAAGCATAGCACTGATCAATAAGAACCCAGAAACTCAGCCATCATTTCTGAAACTGCTCTAAATACTAGGGATGTTAGCAGTTAGCTGGCAAACCATTTAACTGATGAGCAATGCTTATTGGTCCCAGTCAGCCTCAACAACCCTCCTTCTCCTGTGTGCTCTGCATTTAAAACTCAGACTGGCAGGCTGGCTCAGTCCTAGCCCACTGGTCCGAGTTTTAAATGAAGAGCATGCCAGGGAGCTGCCTGCCACCTTGTGTTGCTGCCTGTAATACAAGTGCGAGGTGGCAGGTCAGCATGGGGAACCGTTTTAAAAAGTGCAAAAAGCATAGTTTCTTTAGACAGAAAGGATACACTTATGCTGCATTTCTACTAGGTATTTTAAAAATCCCATCCATAGAAGGAAGAAAGACTCAAGTGGAGGCCTAATACATGACCTGAATTAAAGTCAGCAAAAAAAAAAATCACGATCTAAGCAAGTCAGGTCCTTTCAAACGCAGATGCTTGTTCACTCTTTGGTACATGAGCTCAGCAACAGTATTAGTATTAGCATTGCTAAAAACCATTGATTATATAAATATATTCTGGCAGGTTAAGAGAAAAATCTCTCAACCTAGCACACAAGATTATTTGACAGAAGCAATGAATAGTGATGTTCTGTGTGAAATATCAAGAGAAAGGTACAAAGAGACATAAACCTCAAAGCACGTAAGGGGATAGGCAAGTAGTCTGACTCAGTCTATAAATGCAGGGATGCCTCACCTTAGTCCTTTGTCCAGCTGCTAATTGGGCTGGATCATTGTCACGGGCATGCACATATTAAGTTTACCTGTAGCACATGAGGAACTAATACTGTACTTTGTCAGCAATAAACCTGAGCATCCTCACTTCTGAACAGAGTTTGTGGTCGTCTTGGGCAGTTTAATTGAAGTCAGCTGTGAAAGATCTCTTACCAGAGCCTGTGCAGCACATAGTGATTGTGCACACATGTCAAGTATGGGCTGCATGTTTGATAACACCATCTACTTGGTTTGTTCTTGTTTTGTAAAAAAGAGCTTTGAATTAACATTTTAGTCTCTCTCAACAAACAGTTTAAAGTACAAAGATGGTATACAGCATATGTCTTCCTTGATTACAATGTGCTACAGTAGTTAGAGGGAGAGATTAGGAGTTAGAACACATAGGTTCTATTCCTAGCACAGAAAAGGACACTCAGTAAACTTAGTCAAGTCACTTCACCTCCTTGGGCTTCAGTTTGTTTCTATACTTACAACCAGTGCTGGGTTATGTTGCAAAAACTTAGCTAAAACATGACAAAACTAGGGATGTTAAAATCATTTAAGTAACAGTGTAATCACTGAAAATGTAAGCAGTTACACATAGGAGGCAGATGGCTCTCTGGAACCAGTGTGCTCGGACCTACCCACCCCTATCCTGCTGCCTCTGATACATAGGCAACAGTGGAGCGGGAGGGAAAGGGAAGACAGCTCCCCAGGACTCAGTGTACCTGGGGAGCCAGCTTTTAAGCAGGCTTTCCATGCATACCAGGAGTCTGCGTGTAACCATGAATGTTAACCGATGATGAGCCCAGGCTTATCTGTCTTCACTGTTTTCATGCAGGAATAGCGGAAAATTCAAATACTGAACAAACAGCAAGAGAAGAGAGAGACTTTTCTTTTAAAAAGAGATTAAGAAACGCAGAGGTGGATACAACTATCTGCACCTGTTAAAAGGGTTTTGGGTATACTAGACTATGTCTACACCGTAATTACGACAGCTGCAGCTAGCAAAGATCAGCTGCAATTATCTAGCTACAATCTACACAAAGTCTTATTTTAAAGCCTTGTCAACACACAAAAATTATACTCCTTGAACTACAGGCAGTCCCCAGGTTACGTACAAGACAGGGACTGTAGGTTTGTTCTTAAGTTGAATTTGTACGTAAGTTGGAACTGGCGTCCAGATTCAGCCGCTGCTGAAACTGACCAGCGGCTGACTACAGGAAGCCTGAGGCTTCCTGGAATCAG